ATCCATCCGCACCCCTTTGTCACCCCCTTAACAATACTCAGGGTTCCCAATAACCAATTACACCTCTTACGGCCTCTCAAATAACTTTAATCACTGATTAGGATTCCTTGTTCACAAAGCGGCTACTTAAAAGTAATTGCTCAATAAAGAGAGGGGAAGTTGTCGTATTAAGTAGGTGTTCCTGCTGCTTCTCTCATTAGTGCGCACTTGGAGCTTTCATCTCCCTATTGTCACAAATGGAGTCAGCTTCATTCACAGCACAGGAGCCGTTCTCGCTCTGTCTGCTTCACACTGCTTAAAAGCCTAACGGCATTAGCACAGCTCAGAGCCGCTGAACAGCGAGTGCTAAAACCCGTGTTGTCGTTTTTTTGTTTTTTTTTGTTTATTATTAGAAATAGAAAGATTGAGTCCCATGGCTGACACCAATGGGACAAAGTTTTTGTGGACAAAGATGTTTTGGATTCGTCATTTCAGGAAGCAGAAACCCAGGATTTGATTTGTAGCGTTGGGACGTCCAGGTTCACAGTTTATTTAGTTAGTTAGTAAGTTTAAAAAGTTCTTTTTTCACTTATTATGTTGCTGTTTAGCTGCAGGTGAGAGGGATTCTTTCTGATAAGGAAGACATGAAGATTTGACTGTGTGTATGTGTGTCTGTGGTTGAAAAGAAAGAGAAGTGAAAAATTTTAAAAATATTTCTGTTTGCACTGCAAATGGTGTTTTTAGTATGTAGATTTCTGGGTGAGACTTTCCCCATTTTGCAATATTTAAAACAACCACTGTTCTCTAATATAGAATCAAAATGAATATTACAATAGCCTGCTTCAGTGTTTTTGCCCACACTCTTACATTCTCCCTTTCAGCCCGGTCTGCCTACAGAAACTGCGGTTTACATTTTAATAATATTCATCCAGTTTACCACCTCTCGCTCTAATATTGACTCAGAGGCAGGAACTGAGTTCAGGAACCAAAACTAGAACTATGTCCTACAGGTCGTAGAAATATAAGTTAAGTTCCTTGTTTGAAGGGTTCTTGAGGTTGTACTGGAAAACTTGACACCAAGCCTACAGTTTACTGTCATTCATCTACCAAGATTATGCCAAAAGGAAGGAAAAAGAAGAACCCGTTAAATTTCTTCGGACTTAATTTGTGCATTGGTGGTTGCCCTCTCTGAATACCCCAGGACTTTATTCCTGCTATTTTTACAGTAATGCAGTTAGAATGATATGCTATGTATTTTAAACATGCTAAATGTGAATAGCACTTTGAACATGAGGCAAGCACGAAGGAATAACGATGAAGGGTATTAATATTTAGATAATAAAAGCATCAAACTGACTATTAAAGGCAGCCTTAATAGCTTTTGATTACACAGTGCTGTTGAACAGTGATGCTAAGGGTGGATCTAAACAGAGAGAAGCTATCGTCATCATGTCCATGTGACGAGCAACAACATTTAGACTAATGTGGGAAATCTACGTTGTAACTTGGGACCTGTTCGGAAACCCATTTAGCGCTACACATGGCCTTTTATATAACCGGATGTGCACCTCGCAAGGAACGTGATTACACGTCGAGCCTGTGAAGACTGAATTGTGTAGGCCACGGCGCCATGGTGCAGGGTTAAAGGGGTTTCCAGTTATGTCTTAAGTTCCCACGTAGATTTCTAGCAGAAGTCTTAGGCCTCAATCACACAAACCTAGAGACCGCTCTGCAACCATCTAGCAACCACTGGTCACTGGACTGGTTGTCGACTGCTTGCTGGAAGTTGCTAATGGTCGCAAAGAGGCTCCTGCCCCGAAAACCACCTTGTGTCTGCTTTGGTTGCTAGCAGATTACCACAGTGGAAAAGACAGCTTGTCTGTAAACACTTGTAATTACTAGCTCGGGGAAGTTAAACTTTTTTTTGTTGTTGTAACCTTTAGAAATTCTGTTGGCTTAAGATATTGTTTTACATATATAATGTATGGCTTCTAGTTGAAACCAATAAAGTCAGGAGTGTTTGAATGGCAGTGAAGATCTTCTGGTCTCAGGTGTGTTGTATTTTCAAGAGTAAGATCATTCCTCTTATAAAAGAATGTTCACTTATGGAAATGAGAGATAACATTACACGCCACTTATTTCGAAAGGCTTCTTCTTAAACGCCGTTTCTTTCTGACCCTGAATCAGCTGCAAACATCTCCAAGGCTGAGTGCATTTTTTTATGAGACAGAATGGTTTTCCTTGAAAAGACTACTGGGGGGTGCAAACAGTGCATGCAAAGTTTTTTTTCTTTTTTGAATTTAACATTAGCACACTAATGCGATTCACTCCTAAATGACTGGTGCAATGACGGATGGGGGAAAAGAAATTGGGTCAAGAGGGGAAATGGTCAGAAACATCCTTTGAGCAAAGATGCCTAATGACCCCCGTTCCTCCTCCAAGTCTTGCTTTCCACTGTTCCACGCACAAAGCTATAAAACCTTTTCAATAAAACATGATTCTCTGAAACATTTACAACTCGTGTTTCCTGAAGTGATGAATCCAAAACATCTTTGATGTTTGAGAGAAGCGTACATGCAACTTAATGATTTAATTCTCTGTAAGCCACAAGTTACAAGTGACTTATATTCGGGTAAAAAGGATCCGTGGTGGAGGGGAGGGCGGGCCGGGCCCGAGCCTTGTTGTCGAGCAGCATATTTTATTTTCTCTCCCAGAGGTTTAGAGGAGCTGTTACACTCTGGAGTTTTAGTGGAGGTCACAAGGTTATTATATAAACAATTCACATGGAGGGCCTCAAGTGCCCAGAGGGAATGTTTAATGCAATGCTCACAATTTCTTGAACGTAGTAATGCTCAAGACGCAGAAGTGTCCAATTTCAACCATGCTGCATTATCTCTCTGTCTTCGTTTCCTTTTCCCCCCCCTCTTTCTGCCATTGTGTTGAGGCAACTGAAAACCACGCTTAATTAATTTGGTCAGCTGCCTTGGATAAACTACACTGATGACATCAATTAGATTCTAATGAAAACAGATAAAAGCCATGGAATGCAAATGGAATTTCAGAACAGGACTCATCAAAGTCTTAGCATTGGAACAAATTCCCATTACGTCTCATAAAAGCCTTTAATTTGCAAAGCTCATGTCTGGTTTGGTACTTAGAAGTACATGGTCAAATGATTCAGTCTTAAGTCCTGTGCCGAGAGAAGCCAAATCAGAATTTAATTTGGCATGTAACTCCTTATCCTGTCTGAAACATGTGGCAGGATGCAATCCTTGGATTAGCGTGCACTTCAGAACTACAAATTTAGCTTGTTTCTCGTCGTCTGGCACGGCAAACACCTAGTCTAACCCGTCTGTAACACAACATTTCAATTTCAGGGAGAGAGGGGGGGAAAAGCCACGCTTGCTCCAGATTAGTACTTCTTAGTTAACCAAATTGCTGCAATTATGTGTGTCAGTCCGTTGACGTGGGATAGCGAGGCTGTACTTCTTTGTCTCATTCGCTCGCAGTCTCTCTTTTTTTTTAACTCTATGACCTCTTCCATATGTTAGACTTGATTTTGCAGTTCATGCAAATGATGATGACTTCTAATAATAAGTCTTCATCAGCTACTCTGCAACCGGCGTTCTGTATAACAAATGTGCGCTCGTTAAACAACTTGCTACATTACACTGCATCTTTCAGTCGGTTCAACACCTTAATGACAAAATGCCATTGTCGCGTTTTAAACTACTTAAATAAGTCAGAATAATGAATTAGACCCTGCTGAGTTGTTTTCAATTGAATTGCAAGATAAACCGCTAATAATAAAAATAATCAAAATGCTGTCACGCTGAACAAAAAATGTTCAGTTCAAATTAAAAACACCGCACATTTGTGCACACGGCTCTCGTATGGCAGACATGTTTGCAAACAGTGACCTGCAGATGCAACGATTAATATCAGCATTCGTTTTGAGTTGATTTTAGCTCCATTAGGGAGAGAAGTGGGAATAAAACTGATGGTGGACAGCATTTGTGAGCTGCATCAGCCAAAAATAGGTTATTTTGTTACTTAAGCCCACTCCCAGTAACCTCTGGTATCAGTGGTGCTGACCACCTAGTTACTGAATTTCTGTAGTGTCATAACTAGGCAGGTAACTTTTATGGGTTAGCAACTTCCTGCTGTGCAGTGGGCAAAAGTAATACTGAGATCAGTGAGGTGGAAAACCAGAACAAAGAGCTGAAAGGTGCTAAAATGCTCATTAGAAATAAAGGAAATTGCAGAATCCAGTGGTGAAAAACAAAAGCAGTTTTATTGATTGTTACTAATAAAAAATATGCATATATATTGATTGTTAAAGCTCAAACCTAATGTTTGAGCATTTGATCCAGCTGACATCTAACCTGCAGGTGTAAAGAACATCTTTCTACCCCATAAAACTTCCTGTAAAATACTTAAACTTTTTATTGTCATTGCACAGTCATGCTTTGTAGAGTAGTACAACGAAACTGAGGGACTGTCCCGCATCGGGGATAAAAGAAAGGCACGCAGTAATCATAACAAACACCATATATACAGAATAAAAATATGCAGAAAATACAAACTTAATGTTAAAACAGATGGTGATGCATTAATGCGTCTCAAAATGATAATTTGATGCACTTACATACTTTATAAATCATGTTTGTGTCAACATGCTGGACGCTCCAGAGCCAGTCATGTATTTATGCGCTATAAGCAGGCTTACAGTGTAATCTACTTTTAACCTCGACCATGCAGAGCATCATGTGCACTATTTCTCCATAGATTTGTAACCCTTTACCTTGTTTTCGGCACCTGTTGTGCTGGTTGTTGTAAATGAAACATCTTTTTTTAATCTTTTTTTTTTTTTTTTTTTGCCGGTGTTTTTTCAGCGGTGGACTGTGTGTGTTCTTTCACAATTGTGACAGTTTGTTTGTAAAAGAAAAAAAAAGGGGAAGTATTTAATGAGCCGTTTTTGTTTTTCTTGGTGTGTGTGTGCGCGTGTGTCTCCATCCCAGCGGACTACCCTCCCCCTCCACCACCTGTCGAAGAGTCAACCGGCTTCCTGTCATCCCCTGGTTCCTTCCCTCCTCCACCGCTGGGGAACTCATACGATTATCAGGTGAGAGGAGCCGCTGTTCTATTAAATTTTCTTGGTTGTCAGTAACTCTCTAAGAGTCGGCGCAGAAAGCAAAGACAGCCCCGAGCGCCGCACTGAGTTCACGTACCAAGTCCAGCAAAACTATTTGTCCATTTGAGCTGCAGCCAAATGCAGAGACGTCCAGCTCCAGATGCTGCCTGGAGCCAGCCGCTCTCCACCCGTGGACCCACACACACACACACACACACACACACACACACACACACACACACACAAACATTTCCGAGGGCTCTGATGCAGGAAGGATGGAAGGCTGACACCTATTGGTGGAGCCCGGTCACTTTTCTGCGCTTTGCTGGTCATAATACCCACAGGCATTTGGCCCTCCTGGGATTTCTGGCCTCTGCACCTCTGGCTGACGCTCGCAGCGCTCGACCTCTGCTATGAAATCCTCCAAGTGCTTCACATTCCTTTGTTCGCTGCAAACAGGAAGAAAGAAAGTCTCCCTCTTCAAGCCCCTCATTTGATCTGACCAGTTTTCTATCCTAAATGAATGCTTCCTTTGTAAGCTTGGAGACAGAATGTTGCATAATTCAAATAAGTTATGCATTGCGTGTAAATTCACTGCTCTTCCCACACAAACTGTAAACACAGTAAGTATAAAACTCGAAGCTTTAAAAAACCCTAGGACTATCAGTATACGTGCATGCATGCTGCGCTATGACCTTAATGTAATCTAAAGCACTTTCAAAGTCACGCAGTTATTTTAAAAGGTGCAGCGCTTCGACTGTTGGAGTTCTGAATTTCATGGCTTTGTTGAACGTCAGGTTCAGCCAGCCAGCAGAGCTGCTCCCCTCTTACACTTTAGGCAGAGCACAGAGACACGTGAGCAGTGAGGAATGCAATAGGCGTACAACAGAATTTACTTCTCTTCTTAGAAGTCTACGGAAACCTTAAACTTCCATATACCCCTTAGTTTAATGAAGGCTGATGACTTTGATCTTGTGCTTGCTGGGTGGGGCAGTTTCTACCTAAACTCCGGCTGCTGCTCAACAATCAGTGTCGATCCTGTTCACTTTGTTACAGTTTAATAATGTTACACCTACACTTACGACCCAGCATCCTCTCGATTTGTACCTGGAGACAGGAATGCAGCACAAGTTTTTAAATTTTCAGTCTTAAATCTTGTACGCTTTTCTGATGATTGAGGAAAAAGCTGAATTTAATCTACATCGCCACATCCAGAAACTTTGAATCATTTAAAAAATGTCTCCTTGGTGCTGGTATTTCTTATTAATCTTTTGGCTCACATTTATTGCTTAGAAGTCTTTTGTAGCAGTTTTATACATTTCTAAGCAGTCAAAATTCTCTGGATGAAAAAGCTTTTAAAAATAAATCTAACTGGGAATAATCTGGGTCCTTGTCTGCATGTGCTAAACGGTAACAGGTGAGCAAAGTGGTGAACACATGTCTGGTGGAGTAATGGCAGACTTTACAGGCAGCATGCATGCTTAGAGGATTTTCTGGACATCTAACAGTCAGTTTTACTGGTATCTACACATTTGTTAACTGTGAACAGATCTATAAATTTTCACTTGTCCATATGAACCTGAGCAGGTTTTCCATGCTTTCACCTCCCTTCTTAAACTCCTATATTATATTTCAGTATAACTGGGAGATGAAATCCAGACTCCTACTATCATGCAAAAATGTATTTTTAAAACTTTACCTATAATCAGAGACAGTAGAAAATGAAATCAATTTGCCAAGTTACAGTACAACGTTTCCACTTCCTGTAAGCATCTCTTCAATCAGATGGATTTGTTTGAAGGCAACATGTGGCACTTTGGCCTTTTCTGAACGTCTATCAAATATATATTATTATGATGTCAAAAATCCCTGTATGTTGGTAAAGCTCACAAACTAAAGGTGAGTGCCACATAGCTTCATGGTAAAAATGCCAAACCTTTCTCATATGTCTGGATATTCTGTCCGGATCTCATCTGTTAAAGGAAAATAATGATTTTAAAAATGTTGCAAAGTTGAAGTAAAAATGTTCCCTGCATGTTCCAATGCCAGGGATTTCAGTTTACCTCTGTCCATTCGTCCAGGGTCACTGACCCTTACAGACTTTGGCTTTAAACTTGTTTGGTTGGATCTGATTGATATCTTCCCTTTCTTTTTCCCCCGTGCCTTGGATTTTGTCGTGCTCAAACGCGTGTAGATGTTTTTGAGAAAATGTTGATGAATCAGAAGAAAAGTCTGTATAAATTGAGCAGAATTGGTTACCTGCTAACTCCAGTGGAAGTTGGTAGCCTGGTCCGTGAGCCAAAATAAAGCTGATAGCTTCCAGGTTTGCATCTGTGCCGTGCATCCCGCTGCACATGTGCATTGTGCTTGCGAGTTCCCACAGAACCCGTGGACTTGAAGTGATAATGTCACATAAACACACAGACCTTTGAAGGTGCTAGGAAGGTTTTAGAAGTGGGAAACCTGCACAATAAAAGAGGCAACTGGGCCGTAAACTGGCTTCTAGCTCAGCATACGTCCCTTAATCATAATAGAGCTCTTTGCCGTTTTTACATGTATTCCCATGTATTACCACTGGGGCCTTTAGGTGACAGGAACTAAAACAGACAGAGGCTGAACTGATGGGACTGCATCATTTGTGGTCTGTATATGATAAATAAAGGGTTTCTTTTGAATTGTAAATCATGCAGACATGTGCGAGAAAAACCCCAGAATATAAATATAACATATACATTTGCATGATATGGGCCCTTTAACTCAGACTGCTTTGTTCCCGTAGGTTAAAAATGCAAAGCTAGTAAGAGTATAAATATTATTGTTTTCCTTCGTGTGTGAACGTCTCAGCTTTTGGAGATTGGTGGTTTTGTCAGGACAGCTGTCAAATGCAACACATTAGCTGAACAGGATGATGGTTATAATCACGAGCATTAATTTAGTTCCCTTTTTGCTGCTGTAATTTTTGCCACTATTCTTGATTTTTCTTGTGTGGAGAGATGAAGGAAAAGATTTTCAAGGCCTGAAATTACATAAGAAATTCCATCCCTCAATTATTTTTTAAAGTGCTTTCCTGTATTCATCTCGAAATTTTCTTTTCCTATCACACTGCCGAGTCTTTCTGGCCTGCAGTTTAATTCCTTAAAACACCACGGGTATCTTAATTATGTGTCCTGCAGCCAGAGCAGAAGAGAACGCTGTTCAGAAAAAAAAAAGGGAAGATATCAATCAAAAATGTCTTTCTGGAGAAATTCTACATAGTGAATGAATAAATCAGCGATTTAATGGCATTTTACTTAAAAGAAGCAGAAATATGCTCTTGTCTTTATCCCCCTGACAGAGGGAGATGTCTGGATTATGACACGTAAAAGCCGAGACCTTTAGCGGGAGAGAGAAAAACAAACCTCTCATCCTGGCTGCAGTTCGCATTACGAAGCCCTACACGGCAAATTCCTCCGCAACACAAAGTCTGCGATGTTTCCTTTCATCCTCCTCGTTATCACCGTTAAACAAGTTTGCCCGTTTTTTTCTTTTGTTGATTTGAGACAAGCCATTAGTGTTTTGCTTTGTTTACTCCCGCTCATGATTGCCTTAGATGTTTTTAAGCAGCAGCTCTGCTCCAAATGGAGGAAAGCCCTGCCTGTAATAGATTGTGACAGGTAATCCAAACACATAACATTAGAATAAGAAGCAGCCACTGATCCAACCAACTCAAAAAGCCCCCACAGGCAATTGCAAGAAGTCTTCTTGCAGTTGCAGCATAGTTCAGAAGACTAAAAATACATCTGTCGTTCCATGGAGAAATTCCCGGGAATTTTGTAGAAAACCGGGTGCCACTATCGGTCAGATCACTTTAACTACTTTCCAGATTTCTTTATTTAATCAGATTTCTTTTGATTAAATAGTTTGTGTCTTTTCATATGTCGAGGTTGCATTTTTCTCTGAAGCGAAAGAGAAAAAATGCGGATGAATAAATCAGCGACTGCTGCTGCAGTGATCCTGTTACTGATGCTTTCAAGCTTCCTCTGATAATAACAGAGTTAAATAAAAATCACAGCAATTCTTAGCATCCTCTGCAGAATACATTCAAAGTGTGGATTAAAAAAAAAGTTTGACTTTGATTTTAAAGAATTGACCTTTCTCTGTGAAATAGTGCTGGATGAGATTGTGATGAATAATGTATGAAGAATGAAATACTGTAAATCCAAGAGCAGTAAAAGGCAGGTGAATAGTGCACCGTGTTATGAAAGTTGTCTTTCATACAATGCATCGCTTCTTTCTCACTGAGAGAAGTCTCTGCTATTGATGTGTGGCTTTTAAAAAGATTGTCTGAGGTCAAGGTGAAACATGAACTTGTAATGCAAAGTTTAAGAAGTGCAGAGAGAAAAAAGCAGGAGAAAATATTTCTGAGCAGCACAGAGTTAGAAATACTCATCGCCGATGGCATTATGGTGACAGTAACTTGACCCTGTGAACCCGGGCTGTACCTGTTACTAGAGCAGGGCGATATGACCAAAAATATTTATCACGATATACATTTGAAAATTTGTGACAACGATATAACTGACGATATAATTGATACTAGACAAAATACTTTACAACTCCACAACTTTATTAGTGGGGGAAAAAAATCAATGTATTTTCACTTAAACAAGCAGCTGTTTTTTTTTATGTGCATTAAAGTTACATAAATATTTAACAGTGCAAATGCAAATTCCTTGCTGACAGGTTAACCAAAAGGCATTTCCAGTGGAAATTGGCTGACATATCCTGAGCATAACCATGTATAATATCCACAAAACTTAAAAAGAGGTTATACACACACACACACACACACACACACACACACACACACACACACACACACACACACACACACACACACACACAATATGGTAATATTATGTTGACGCACAGTACGTATCACTCCGCGAGGCGCCTGCCTACAATAGCCGTAATGCTCCGACAATCCATCAAGCGGTGCGGCTTCGTAGGTTAGCAAAGTCGTACTAAAACATTTGACAGATTTTTGAGCACCGTGTACATAAAATCGTTTCGAGGTCAGTAAACACAACCAGAATTCATACATAAGGCACACGGGATTATAAGGGGCACTGTCGATTGTCAGAAAAATCAAAGGATTGATTTTAAGTGTGCCGTATTTTCCAAAATACGGCCGTCGCTAGCATGCGCTACCACAAATAGTGCTTTGTTGTGTATCTGATGGACAAAAGCCAAACCAGTTCCACACCACTGAACTTGCAGCATTTTTACAAACCAATTCTGGTTCATCTGTTTCATTCAATGATCCGCTTTCGCTCTTCTCATTCTCCGTCGCCAGCATGGTTTTTCCGCCATGTTTCCATGAAAACAAAGGCATGCGCGTTTTACCCATATTCTATCGCATTATTTCATTTTCTTATCTCTGCCCAACATTATACCGGTATTACCGTGAACAGTATGATATGACCCAGCCCTACCTGTTACAACATAACCCACACCCAAGGTGAGTGTTGCTGTGACCACAATGCATGGATTAGAAACACAGATTGCAATTTTCTTGGGCGACTCCACTTTAAGTGTGCCGATCCCGATTTTTGCCAGTTATGGTTTTCTTCCGAATAATATCAATAATAATAATGAGAATCATAACAATAATAATTTACAGGTAAAATTTACAGCGGTTTCCCCTGATGAAAACGTGTACACCTCTCCACCTTTACCTGACAGATTTTATTTTACCTTACCAAACAAAGGCTGATATAAAACTAATGCCAGGTACTTCATAATTTACAGTACAGCGATCCCTCGAGTTACGCTGTAAAAATAACCCACGATAAGTGAAATGTAAAACCCCTGCATGGACATTTTCACAATTTTCTCTCTTGTTTAAATACTCTCAAAGTTCAAACCTTCGTAGAAAAATAAGTCCAGCATTATAGAATGAAACCAAAGGCACTCGCAGGTGACGACGTTTCGTGTGTTTGTTGCGGAGCAGTCACACTGCTAGCGATCAAAGATTTATGTAAGTTTGACAAGCTGAACTCATTTTGTGCTGTACAGGAGACACGGCATGAGATTGACTGACAATGGTCTAGAGCCAATCAGGACGCACAACACAATGCGTTGTTAAAAAAAGAAAAGGATGCAAAATGCACAAAAAAAATCAGTGAAACAGCGAGGCTGCAGAAGTTGAACTGCGATATAGCGAGGGATCACTGTATGTTCATAACTTCACCAAATAAAAGGATATCAACCCGTTGCTCTACTACTTTGATCCATTGCTAATACTGAGGCTGCTGGCTTGTGGCTAGCTCTGAGCTCAGGATCACTTATCATTTGTTGCCTCCTTTAAAATGTCCATGTTAAGCTGGTGATTTAGGTTTGTTGACACAAACATTTTCACTCTGGTCCTCTAATGGGGTTCAGGGTCAAGGCCAAGGAGTGGAAATCGACCAATTCTGGTCCCTGGGTGATCGATTGGTGCATCTGTGGTAGATTTACCATTTGGACAAAGGAAAAAAACAAACTGCCGCTGTGAGAGTATGAAACAGACTACGTGATGCTGATGTTTATATCTATATGCTGGTTTGTTTGCATTTCTCTGCAGTCATGAATGATACTGTTGGAGCACTTAAATACTGAACAACAGTTACTTTACTAAAATGCAGGAAAGAGAGACGACTTCAGGTCTGATCAGACATTTACAGAACATGTGACTACCAAGGAGACCAATCAGATTTGGTGTTGCTTCACTTCACTTTGATTTGTAACTAACTAACTATGGTGTAACTATAGTCTGGGTATGCTGGAGAGTCACCGTATTGCTAACACAAGGCTATAACAGGTGCATAAATCCCTTCTTATGAGGCATGGTGGAAGCAACATTGGGCTCTGAAAGTGCTTCTCATGTTCGGGGAAATCTGCTAACAGATTTGACGATTTTAGAAAGTTTTTGAATAACATGTTTTCAATTTTAATGTAATTTAGAAGTTCAACTAGTGCATATGTTTCAAATGAAAGCTACAACACAGTAGAGTGTGCAAACAGTGAAGGAGTCTGAACACTTTATCGGACGTCTTCTCACAGGTGAAAGGCCATGAAAAGACGCTGGAAGAGAGGCGCTCCAGTCTAGACGCAGAGATCGACTCCCTCACCAGCATACTGGCAGACCTGGAGAGCAGCTCGCCCTACAAGCATCGAAGCACACAAGTACGTAACCTACAAAATGTCATGCAGATGTGAATTTAAGGCTGTGCTTTTCTTGGGCATTTACTGCAGGCCAAAGTTGAAAATGACTTTTACCGTTTTCAGTTTATGCACGACCTGTAAGGAAACATTAGCCTTTTAATATTGTCAAATACATTTTACAGAAACTAAATGTCAGCAGAATTGATGCTTTTACTTCTAATACTTAAAAACCTTAGTAGGGCATGAAGCACGCTGTTATCAAATGCTTTTACTGAAGTATGTGAGTGCAGCCTCTGTTGGCATTCAGTAACACTTATATCCGCACAATAAACGGCACACTTTATAGACCTGTAGCTGCTCTCCTGTGAAGTGTGCTAAAAAATGCAAAGAATAATTAAAGTTTTTTAAACTGTTGAATGTTGCAAAATACAAATTAGGTTTCCACATGAAACAGACCTATATATGTTGCATCTTTTTAAAAAAAAATGCAATAATGACAAAATGAGTCTTGACCTATATCATTAGTTGATATTAAACGATATTAACGGCAACTTCAAAAAGTCAAAGCCTTGGGCAGTTCACTAAATTGTTTGACACACAATGAATGTAGGACAAGCGGATAAAAAAACCTTAACCAATTGTGTTTGGCGTAGGAAGGCTCAGTGGGGCTTTGAACACATGCAGATCATTTCTCTAGTGACATATTCGAGCAAAAATGAAATACCTGAAAGGGCGTTCTCTGTGGGGGCCTCATACTCTGTGGATATGTGGCTAAAGCGGAGTTAAAACAAATCTTAAAGGTGTTGCTTTTTCTGTGGATTATTTATAGAATAGTTACCATATCTGCTTTGTTTCCTTGTACATTTATTCAAGTATTTATATGTAAGTCAATAATTTAAGACTGTGAATTATTGATGTGGGTATTCGTGGGGTCCACTGACCTTTGTGTGAGTTCAGGAAACAATTCTTCAGCGACTTTAAAATGTAAAACGCTTCGGTTTTGGAAACTCACACGAGGCAAAGTTAGGTTTACAAGTAGTCTGAGAAACATGGTATTTTGGGGGACGTGTGCAATGTGAAAAAGCCAAACGAAGACTGAAGATTGCAAGTGTTGACGTCCTTTGGTTAGGTGACTCCTGGCTCTCTGGTTAGAGGGAGAGGGAAGGGTGTACTGCTCACAGAGTTAAAATTATTGCACCACACAGGGGAAACAAAGCGGAGACGGAGAGAAAGGAAGTAAACGCTGCGGTTCTGAAATGATACGCTTTAACGGCAGTAACTAAAATCTGACTTGATGATTTCTAGTATGCTTACTGTTGTGGTGAGCGAGTGTGTTCGTGGGAGCTGATGTGGGGAAACTGTAATAACATGAAATTATGTGCTCATAAAATATGGTGAAATGCTCTTTTTGACAAATCAAATTGACATCTCAGCGTATGTTTTTTTTTTAGTACAAACAAGGTAAAAAGACGATTCAGAGTCTGAGCAGATCAGGACGTCTGCAGGTCTCTGTCTTGTCTCTGTCAGGTTGCCGAGAACTCGTCTTTGTAGTACTGGACAAGAATCATGTTTGATAATATTGTATGCTATATTTCAGTTTTCTTCCAGAGGTGGCACCGGTTTGAACCATTCTGCAAAATTAAATTCTAATGACTTTTTTCATTTAGTTATGCAAAAAGCAAAATTTGCTGTTAAGATAAATAACTGCTGGAGCTCCACAAGTTAACACATTGCAGAAGAGGACGGCATAAATAACAGAACCTTGTTTAAAGGTAAAAAGTGATGAAAAATGAATGAAAACATGGCATTTTGTGGAGAAATCACTATTTTTCTTTCGAGCTGATTTTCTTTTTGGCACGTTTTAAACATGTTGAGTCGATTTGTTGTTGTACATTAAAACTCCATCATCTTATTTCTGATGATTCTATGACACAGTTTGATGCGCGTGCATGCATATGTGTAAAGCAACCTGTGTAAAGTGTAAAGCAACCTGTCCAGCGTGTACCCCGCTTCTCGCCCTAACTCGCAGCCCGACAGCTGATATTACTTTTTTTTTTTTTTTTTAGCTCCAGCTCTCCGTGACCTTGAATTAGATATTTGGAAGAAGATGGATTGATGGAATTTTTTTGGTTAATTCTGGTAAACTTTTTTAAAGGAGTAGTTTGACATTTTGGTTTCTTTCAGTGGGCTGGCAGCCCATCTGAGTTCCCGCCTAAGACTAAACTCCCTGCTGGTCCTGACCGTGAAATCTTGATAGCCCGTTTTTGCTGTTAACTCTTCTAAAGCTATAAAAACATCTTGAAAAAGAAGTATTGAGTACTATTTTAACTTTTCAACATTGATTGTCATTCTTTGCTGTATGTGACTGATGGTTCTCTCTTGCTGGTTTTAGGGTTAAACAGTTGATGTGGATTGATAGTGTCACTGCCCCATCCCATCCTCTTATTGGTTGAAGTCACAGTGCTGAGGCTGACAACTTCTGTGGCAGAAATTCTGCACTTATTGCCCCCTCCATATCTTTCCATTTAGTGTGCATGGCTCGTGCCAGTTGGCAGGTAGTTTTTCTATGAATTATTAAAGACCATCGATGCTTGTAGTTGTTTTCTGTTGTTGCATAAGTGACTCTGCTTTTTATTTTAAAGAACTTCATTTGCATTTCTGCCAGTCTGCAAGTCAGCTCAAATGTTACTGTTCCAGCTTGCGTTTCTTACAGCGGTTAGCGTGTTCTGGGTTCAAATCCACCGGCTTGCTGAAGCCTTTCTTTGTGGACTTTACCTGTTTGGGTTCTCTCCGGGTTCTTGGGTTTTCTCCCAGACTCTCATGTTTTAGGTCAGGAATTTGACTGTGAATGATGATCTCTCTCTGATAGACTTAAAGGTGTACCAAGGCAGGGGTTGAACTACGTGATGGCACCCTAATCTCCGCTGAGGCAATCAGATGGATTATCTGCAATTGCTTGGGAAAAAACAAAACATATATATGTATATGAAAATAATCAGTTAAAAAAAGGGCCTGTCTATACAGAGTTTATAGGATTTATCAGTGGTTTTTATTAAAAACAATGACTACCTATAATATGTAACTAGAGCCCTTCCACCAACAGAGCTTGTGAATATGTAAGGAACAGGCATGAGTGACATCAGCCTTCTCATCTCATTGTTGCCACCCCCAAAAGAACAAAGTGTGAAGATCCACAGTCTTTTTCTATACTTGGGTGCCATTGCTAACCTGTAAGCATCACAAAGGTAGCTGCTGAAGTTGCTGTTTTTACATAAATCTGCCAATTGGAGCTTTTAATTTATAAATAATTATTTGGGCTAATATTGTGGCATTAAAATAAAGTCACAAAATGAGTCTTTCCACATTAAACACACCTCTGCCTTTGGGCTGATCAGAGATCTGTTTCACCGAAATGACTGGTGAAAGCCATTCCCTGGTATATGAAAGTTGGCAACTTGCTGTAAAATACTCAGATTTCCTGAAATGTGAAAGCAGACATTTTAACAGTGGAGTTAACAGTATAACTATTTTCTCTATTCTTCTGTGTAAAGCTGTACAGTATACAAGAGCTGACCTTCAGACTGCAGCCCTACAATATACTGTTTATAGTCTACGTGCTGTTAGCTGTCAGTGTTACAAGGTCATGAATTTTAACAGTGTGGAGAACACAAAGCATCTGTGTTTCCTTTATTCTCTTTGTCTTTCTTATAAACACATAAGGATTTCTATTCATACTTACAATGCACGGGTGCCCACACGTACACGTGTAATAAAAGGAAGCACATCTCTGGGATGTGAAGCTTCTAGCTGCTGGCTTTTTTTTTCCTAAATAAAATATATGATAAGTGCATACCTTTCCTGAAGAGAAAAACCGTGCAGTGTGTATTAACAGGGGTCTGAAAGCTTTTGTCAACATGACTTGAAAAATTGATGTGCACCTCTACAGCTCTGTTAGAGGCCAGCTTCCCAATGTCGTACTAACTAATATGTGTCTGTCGTGTTGGTTCTACCTGTGAGGGTCAGATGTGATCTGCGCGTTTATTTTGATCATAATCTGCTGCGAGATTTCGGGGTTATGGGTGGGAAGCCACACCACCTGTGTCTCAGCAGAGTGCGCATACGTTCTGTGACATGTGAAACGTTTCATTATTAATACGTCGGACGTTTTGCAGAGTTTTCCAACATCTCTTTGCTACCATGATGCCCTTTTGCGGTTGCCGTGTAAAAGATTTGGCTTTCTATTTGATACTTTATTTTCCAGAGATACGAGCACTCTGCAATGCACGCACATGTGCACCCACACACACACACACAGACAGTTACTTTCTACTCAGCTGATGCTGATTCTAGCTGATTAACTCAGGTTGACCTTTTCCCCTACCCAGCTGCTCCTGTCAGTCCATGCTCAGGCTCTTTCAATGCATTATGTACAACATAACACTGGTGTATGTGTGTGCGTGTGTGTGTGTTTAATGGGCCAGGTTTCGTACTCCAGCATCGGTACAACTGCTGCACAGTAATCTTCCACTTGTATAAGCAAAAGAGCAACGAGTGCTCTTGATTTAAGCTTTCTGTGCACAGGCAATCACACAGCCAGCACTCCAAAATCAATAGACCACCCGGCGCTCTGCCTTCAAGCTTCTAGGAGAGGACTCTTCCCTCCCGACGGAAAATTTGGAATCAGAGAGGGGACCTTATGTGTGCTCGCCTCCCAGATGAAATTGAAATGGACGTTGCTGCTCATTCATAAAAATCTAAGTAGCATTCCTGCGAACATTCAGCCGGCACTGATGCTTCACAGACATCAAAACAATTTTGTTTGCTTTAGTTGGTATTCTCTGTGGCATAACAGTGGGTAATGAAATGTGATCATTATATAATTCCCATTTGTTCTCTCTCCAGTTCCATCTTAGATGCCATTTGTTATTTGACACAGTTAACTAAGTTTGTGCTGCAGTTTGCTTGCTTTATCCTGTGACAGCAGAAATTAAGGAAACGCTGATAATAATGTTTCGGCCTTT